GGGCCCTTAAAGGGCAGAATTTTGAGCCCCAAAGGGCGAAATTTTGGGGCCCCAAAGGGGGGGAATTTTGAGGCCCCCAAAGGGGGGGAATTTGGGGCCCAAACGGGCAGAATTTGGACCCCCAAAGGGCGGAATTTCAGGCCTAAAAGAGCGGAATTTCAGGCCCCAAAGGGGGGAATTTGGACCCTAAAAGGGCTGAATTTGGACCCCAAAATGGGTGAATTTTTGGGCCCCAAAGGGGGGGAATTTTGGACCCCAAAGGTGGGAAAGGGGGGGAATTTCGAGCCCCAAAGGGCGGAATTTCAGGCCCCAAAGGGTGGAATTTTCGCGCCCCAAAGAACGGAATTTTCACGCCCCAAAGGAGGGGTAATTTTTGTGCCCAAAGGAGGGTATTTCGTGTCTCACAGGCGCTGCTGCCGCCGCTGTTGTACTGGCTCTGCTGGCTGTAGCTCTGGGGGGGGTTGTAGGAGGACTGCTGGCTGTAGCTCTGCTGCTGCCCGCTGTAGCTGGACTGCTGGTTGTACCCCCCGCTGGGGGGCTGCCCGTAGCTCGAGCTTTGCGACCCGCTGCCATAGCTGCCAAAAAACCTCAATTTTAACCAAAACGGACATTTTTTTTTTCATTTTTTTCAGGAAAAGGTGCGTGGCTACCTGCCGGTGGAGGAGCTGGCCGCCGGTGGCTGGGAGTAGCTGGGGTAGGAGGAGGGTTGCCCGTAGGAGGTCTGCGAGCTCTGCCCGCTGCCGTAACCGCCGGTGCTGCCGTAGGCTTGGGGGGTGGACTGGGTGCTGTAGCCTAGGGGAGAAGCACAAAAAACACCCCAAAATGGGGTTAAAAAGCCCCCCCTTTGAGGGTCGGGGTCAGGGGGGTGAGTCCCAGGAGGATAGGGAAGGTTGGATCGTTGGGGCAAGGCCAATGGGATGAGTTTCAACGAGGGCAAGTGCAAGGTAGAGACTTTGGGAGAGTAGGGGATGACTTCGAAGAGTAGAGGATGACTTTGGTTGAGTAGGGCATGACTTTGGTAGAGCAGGGGACCACTTTGAAGAGGAGGGGACCACTTTGGGAGAGAAGGGGACCACTTTGGGAGAGAAGGGGACCACTTTGAAGAGTAGAGGATGACTTTGGTAGAGCAGGGGATGACTTTGGTAGAGCAGGGGATGACTTTGGTAGAGCAGGGGATGACTTTGGTAGAGCAGGGGATGACTTTGGTAGAGCAGGGGATGACTTTGGGCGAGGAAGGGACCACTTTGAAGAGCAGAGGATGACTTTGGTAGAGCAGGGGACCACTTTGGTTGAGGAGGGGACCACTTTGGTTGAGGAGGGGACCACTTTGGTTGAGGAGGGGACCACTTTGGTTGAGGAGGGGACCACTTTGGTTGAGGAGGGGACCACTTTGGGAGAGGAGGGGACCACTTTGGGAGAGGAGGGGACCACTTTGGGAGAGGAGGGGACCACTTTGAAGAGGAGGGGACCACTTTGAAGAGGAGGGGACCACTCTGGGCGAGCAGGGGACCACTCTGGGCGAGCAGGGGACCACTCTGGGCGAGCAGGGGACCACTCTGGGAGAGCAGGGGAGATGGTTGGACTCGATGACCCCAAGGGTCTCTTCCAACCTGGACCATTCTATGATTGATTTTATGATGGACTCACTGCTCTGGGTCTGGCCGTAGGAGGAGCTGTAGCTGTTCTGGCCGTAGCCCGAGGTGTCGGTGGACTGGCTGTAGCCGCTGTAGCTCTGCTGCCCGTAGGGCTGGCTGCCCTGCTGGGAGTAGCCCTGGCCCGGCGGGGTGGGGTAAGCCCCGTAGCTGCAAGGAAGAAAGGGAAAAAAACCCCCAACGACCCCAAAAACACGTCAAATCCCTGTAAAAACACCCCTTTCCCCACATATTTTTAAGGATCAGGGGGTACAAAGGGGTGGGGGGTGGTACAAAGGGAGGGGGGGGGTAAAAAAAGGGATGGGGGAGGGTAAAAAAAGGGATGGGGGGGGCACAAAGGGGGTGTGTGTGGGGGGCGTACCTCTGCGTCGCCGTCTGGCTGTAATCTGTGAGGAGAAACCCCCCCCAAAACCAAAATTAATTATATATATAAATACATATGCACACAAACACACCCATAATTAAATTAGACACCTCGAATTTTTAATTAGAGATCGCCAAAGGGCAAAAACCAGACAATTTAAGGCCCCAGGCGGGGATGCTCGCCCCACAAAACACCAAAGGGCACGGCTTAAAAACCGAATATCCTCCATAAAACGGCAACGGGGAAACAAACTTAGGACGGATTTACTATCACGCGCGCAAAAATAGGCGTAAAAGCCTAAATTTCTCCTCACATCCCGCCGAACAAAAGGCTCCCCCCGCCGCGAGATGGCGGCCGGCTCCCCCCCTCCCCCCGCCTTTTTTGAAAGAAACTGTGAGGATTTCACGCCAAAACAAGGTTTTTAGGCCCAACACGCGGTAGGGGGGGTGGGGTTTTCCCTCATAAAAACCGGTTTTGGGGGGTTTTTTTAGCGTTAAAAGGGGGGTGTTTTAACGGGGAGGGACCCGGATGCGGGACTGCGGCAG